GCATAAGCTGGCTCAGTGGCATAAGCACCTGCCTGGGAAGCTTTAAGGTCCTGAGTTTGATCACTGGTACACACACACACACACACGCACACACACACACACGGCAAGAATAAGAGTAGCAATGGTTAATACATTCTGTCGTATTATCTTTAAATTACTCAGAGTACAAGATAAAAACATTTAATTGTCCAAACAATATTAACACAAACCTTTCTTTTCAATGAAGTAAAATAGTAATATAGCTGTCTTTTTCTTTTCTTTTCCATCTTTTCTCCATTCCCCCATCCCAGTTTTTCTTTCCTTTTGAAGTTTATGCCCATTTTTTTTTTCTTTCTGTATTTAGTACAGGGTCTCATTACAAAGATAGGACTCAAAGTGATTCTCCTGTTTTCAGCCTCCCAAGTGCTGGGATTACAGGCGTGCGCCACCACTCCCAGTCTCAGTTGCTGCCTCAGGGCACCACGCAGGCAGGGCGGGCATGGCATGCCCGGATGGAACCCCGGACACTGCGCTCTGCCTACGCAGGCGCTTTAGTCCGCTGAGCTATCAGGCCGGCCCCTTCCCATTTTACTATATTGTACATTTCGAGTCTTGTTTACTCTTTTGGTTTTTCACACTAGGGAGACAATGTGCATACGGTTTATTTCACTTAAGTATGGTCTCAAGTTGCATCCACTTACCTATAAAAGTCTCTAGTTTATCCTTCTTAGTGGCTTAATAGAACTCCATTGTATAAAAAGGCCACATCTTTTTTATCCATTCCTTGGTTGATGGGCATTTGGGTTGTTTCCAAGTTGTAGCTATTACAAATTGTGCTGCTGTAAACATGAGTGCACATATATTGCTGTGCTTTGATATTTTAAGTTCTTCTGGGAAGATACCCAGAAGGAGAATAGCTGGGTCAAATGAGACATCTAATCTTAATTTTTTTTTAAGGAATTTCCACACTGATTTCCCTAGTGGTTGTACCAGTCTACATTCCCCCACAACAGTGGAAAAGGGTTCCTTTTTCCCTGACAGCCTCTCCAGCATTTGTTACTGGTTGATTTCTTGATGATAGTCATCCTTTCTGGGGTGGGATGGAACATCAGTGTGGTCCTAATTTGCATTTCTCAAATGACCAGTGATGTTGAACATTTTTTTCATGTATTTTCTGTTTATAATTCATTTGAGACCTGTTACTTGTCTTTTATGTCATGCTTTATCTATATATTAAATTTTTCATACAAGTGATGCTGTGTAGTATTTAAGCTTGTGTAATGTGATTTACTTCAAATAATATTATGATCTTAAGGTGTATCCATTTTCCTACAAATAGTCTCAAGTTTATTTTTCGTTAGAGTAGTACTCCATTTTATATAAATATGTTTTATCCATTCATCTGTCGGTGGGCCTATAGGCTGTTTCCAAGATTTAACTCTTTTGAATTATGGTCTTATAAACAGGTATGCAGGGCTCATTTACTCCATCCAGAAAGGAGTAAATGATAATTCCCGCAAATGATTTTTTAGATGAACTTATCAAGGAATACTTTTTTAGTGCTATTTTATAATATATGCTGTTGGGTTTTTGTTGATGTTTTTACTAGATGGTGTGAATGCTGATTTAGGGTCTAAAATAGATATATTTTGGCTTATTAAGGCTGTATCAAACTCTTATTTTATCAAGGACATTTTAGTAAAATATGGATTTTAAATCAATGAGCATTTCTTTAAAATTGCTGCTGTGTATCAGGCTTTGAGACTAAAACAAAGGAGTCATACAGGCTTAAAAAGAATGTTAAGTCCAAATAGACTTTGGTTTCAAACTGTCCACTACATACGTTAACTTTGTGACCTCAGGGAGAGGACATTTATTTAGAGCCTTGGTGTTCTTATCTGGAAAATGGAACTTGAAGGTGGTTATTGTTACATGATTCTACACTTAAAGGAATATGAAGTCCAATAGAGACAGATCAGGGGAGAGAAGGGGAAGGGGTAGGGAAGAGAATGAGCTGTGATGATCAAAAGTATTCTTTTTATATCAAAGAATCAGCAAGCCTTACCAAGGCGGTAGCAGTGTTTAAACTGGACACTAAAGGTTGAAGGGGTTAGGAACACGGTATCTGAAACTGACACATTCAGGAAACTATTTTTTTTAGCATGATAAAGCCAGAGGTATGGGCAAATGACAGAGATCAGAGTGGCAGACTGATTGTAGAGTACCACAGGCCTTTAGTATGTGCTGCCCTAAAGGTTTTGGACTAAAATAAGTCAGGTTTTTGTGGTGTTTTTTTTTTTTTTTTTAATTTGTGTGTGTGTGTGTGTGTGTGTGTGTGGCCAGCTCAGCCCACCAGGGGGCAGGGCTGGCAGGCATGTGGTGCTGGGGCATTGAACCACGGTCCCTGTGCTTTGCTAAGCTTGTTCTAAGTAGGTGCTTTAGGCCACTGAGCCATCTCACCAGCCCAAGTCAGATTTTTTAAAAGAGCATTCAAACATCAGGTTTGCTGATGGTGAGAGTATATTATGTTAATAGATTCCATGCTGGCCCCACCCCCGGTGTGCTGAGCTGGCCGCTGAGACGGGGCATGGTGGCACACGCCTGTAATCCCAACACTGGGGAGGCTGAAAACAGGAGGATCAATATGAGTCTGAGTTACATAGTAAGAGCCTGTACCAAATACATAAAAAATGAATGAATGAAGATGCCATAAGCTGTTGCATTTTAGGGAGGCAATAGGAGGGATAGATTGGGACTGAAAAAGAGGTGACAGAATTGAATCAGCCATAGTTAGAGGCATTGGACCATCCAGAAAGGAGTAAATGATGATTCCTAGCCTTGATAGACTAAAGTGATTTTTGGATGTACTTATCAAAGAAGGTAGAAGAAAATACAGAAGAGCCAGATAGTGCATTAACTTTCCTGTGGCCACTTTTAATTTCTTGAGTATTTGAGTATTCAGAGAAAAAACACTCTAAAAATGACAGGGATAAATTACTCACTTTTTCTTTTGAAAATGAATCTAATACCACATGTTCTTTCATATGAAAAAGCTAAAAAAGTTGATCTTAAGAGAATAGGGTAGTAGGGCCTGGAAGATGGCTCAGTAGAATAAGCGCAAGGGTCTGAGTTCAATCCCTGGTTCCACAAAAAAAATAGGGTAGTAATTACTACTAGAAGCTAGAAAGGGGAAAGGGGAGGAAGAGAGGGACATTTGATAAATGTGTACCAGAACAGCTAGGAGGAATAAGTTCTAGTGTTTGAAGGCTACATAAGAAAGGATAGATACCTAAGGCAATAGAAATACCCAGATTTCAAATCATTATACATGATATAGTTATTTATCTTAAATATAAATAATTATTAGGTTTATTTAAGGAAAATTTATCTTGCATGTAGCTTTCACAAGGAAATTGGTAAAGTGCATTATACTGTAGGCTAATGAATATGATAAGTTATAGTATTGTAGAGGACAGTCCTGTTCTGCAGGATTATTAAGGAAAGAGTTAAAGAAAATGTTATATGTTAATAAAGGTCTAAAGCTTTTAAGTGATTATACTGTTAATGATAAGAATTTGAATTTTAGCATTTTAATGTTTTTGAAATTTTATAAGAATGATATTAATGTAATAGTCAACCTGAAATAAAACTTATGTACAAAAATGTTTAAAGTATGTTTATTCACTGTCTTTTCTTTTATTCTAGTTACAATTTCTGGAAATGAAAATGGTAAGGTACTTTTGGTCTCATTTTAAATAGAATACTTAATGGCATCTTAGTTGAAACTCACCTACTTTTTATTTACTGGTGAATTACAAGTGTTTTTGTTTTCAAAGAGAATGTACATGTCAGATGCAGTCACACGTGTCTTTAGTCTCAGTACTTGGGAGGTAAAGACAAGAGGATCACTTTAGTTCAGAGGAGGTTAAAGCCAGCCAGGGGAACATTGCAAGACCATGTCTTAAAAAATAAAAGTAAATATTTCTTTAAACTTTGAATAATTGTATTTAATCCCCAAGTTAGTGTAGCCTCATTTTTGTTATTTATATGCATTGAAGTAGCCATTATTTTGTAAGGCACCTCAAATTCCAACTCTTCTGTATGTATTTCTACATGTATGTTCATCGTACCTTCATATTTAGATTCTTTAATATCAGCTCTAACTAGACTGAGGAATGGATTTTGCTTCCATGATAACTAAATCTTATTAGTGGTTCTCTTTGTTTATGAATTTGTTAAAAGTAGTACATACAGAGTCTGGGGAGATGACTCAGTGGAATAACCGCTTCCCTGGCAAGCACAAGGGCCTGAGTTCAATCCCTGGTTCTGCAAAAAAAGTAGTACATACATAGATTTAATAAAATAATCAGCTGAGGTAGTGGCACACACCTATAATCCCAGCACTCTGGGGGTAGGGGGTCTGAGGCAGGAGGATTATTGCGAGTTTGAGACTAGCCTGGGCTAAACAAAGTGAGCTCAGGGCCTGTCTCAAAAAGATAGTACATACATACATACATACATATACATGCATACATAGGTCAGACTTTGAATTTGTAAATTATATTAGTGGTGAAGGGAATTAAAATATTTAAAATTACTAGCCAAAGAGACAGGGGAAAAAAACTCTCAAAATTTTATCCAAATAAAAAAGTATTTCAGAAGATCAAATTTCAGAAAACATTTATTCATTACCTAATGGCAATTGA